TGATTGCAAAACCAGATCAGATATTATCTAATTGAAGAAAATAAAGGGACTTTTTGAATCTCAGCAATGTTTGATTTATGGAGTGCTAAGCCTTCCCCTTACAGACAGGACTACTAATGCAGTTATTGAAGAATGTGCAGAAAAGCAGAACCATCACAAGCCCGAGGTCGTTCGTATTCATAAAGCCCTACTTTCCTTTTGGCCTTTGACTTGACTGGGAATCTGATTGCTAAATAAAACTCCCTCTAAATTGCAGTAATGGCTCACTTGAAATATACTGTGCATAAAAGATGTTTGTGCTGAAGGTCTACTTCCATTCTGAGAATCTGAAATTTTTATATGGGCTCAGCTGAAGATCAGCTGTATCTTTTAACATGGGGGTATTACTGATAATACCTGGCCTATGAAACACTTCAGCTGAGCATAAAGACAGTACAATAAGATGGTAATATGATAGGCCTGGAACTCCCTATCCTAAGAAATAACTACTAGCAACATTAGCTATTTGCTATCATAGTCGACGGTATAGAGTGTCTGCAGTGATTTACTTTTGTCTGAATTGTCAGTGGCCTAAAGTGTATGATCAATGCTATTTATACTGTTTGTCAGCTTTCCATTACTGTGGCAAGATCTCTGTGACAAGGTAGAACAGACATGGCAAGAACATGTGTGTGTGTGGAGGAGTCTACTAATCTCGTGGCAATCAGAAAATGAAAAGCAATATTGGGATCCTAGCATCATCTCAAATGACACACATATTAACATGCTTCTCCTCAGTTACTGCTAACCTAAGAGTTCTACCACCTACACAAAGCCCCCCAAGGCTAGTTAGCAAGCCTCCAATACATAGCCTTTGGGGGATATTAAAGACCTAAAAATAACATGTTACAAAATTAATTTCCTTTGGGAATCTAAAATTATGTCATTTGCCTCGTAAAGTGTGCCTCCATGACAAGTATCCAACACAACCTTTTCGCGTTGTCTGGAAGGAGTCTCCCTGGGGACTGCTTTCTTTCCAGATGTCAACATCTCCTGTGATTAACGAATGAGAGAAGAGGACTGCGGAGTGAGCCGGCTTTCCTCTAAGCTTCGCCTCTGTGCAGGTTTGGTTTGAAATGTTGCTTTATACTTTTTCACTGCAAAAGATACTTAGCCACAAGTGTGAATACACACGGAGCCATATGACTTCCTTTGGTGGTGAGTCACTAACCCAAGGAGTGTTCTTTGAGACCCTTGACTGAGGGAAGAAAGGAAATTCTTTAAAATTTCTCACAAAGCTACGATATATCAATGTTCCCTGTTGTGAGGAGAGAAAAGAATAGATCCTAACAATTATTTGCTTTTCAGCGAAAGACCATTTCTTGACAAATGAGGATTGGTGATTGTTCCTACCTTTTTTAAAAAAAAATATTTTTTAGATTATAATTACGTTCCTCCCTTCCTTTTCCCCCTTCAAACTCTCTCATATAACTCTCCTCACTCTCCTTCAAGTTCACAGCCTCTTTTTTTTTTTACTAATTGTGATTGCATACATAAATGTACATGTATTTCCATATCTATTACTAATTATAACTTATGGTCTGTATAATGTTACTTGTCCGTATGTTTTCAGAGCTGACCATTTGGTATTGGACAACCATTTGGTGTGCTCTCCCCTGGGGATGACCACTTTCCCACTCCCAGCTTTTCTCACTTGTCTGTAGTTCTTCATGTAGGGTTGAGGCTTTGTATCCTTTTTTTCCGTCCACTTTGGTAGGTTCATTGGTTTCATCGTTTTCCTCTTTGTTCAGCTCACATTTGGGAAACCGTGTTGGTGAGGTTGTATAAGTGCAGCTTCTGAAATTACTAGGGGTCACAATCTCAGAGCAAACTCCCTGTTCCTCTGGCTCTTACATCTTCCCGCCCCCTCTTCTAAACTGTTCCCTGAGCCTTAGGGGTAAGAATGTTTTTGTAGACGTATCCATTGGGACCAGGTTCCCCAACTCTGCATATTGACTGGTTATGGTTTTCTATAGTGGTGTCTGTTGCAAAAAAAAAAAAAAAAGTGTCCTTGATGAGGGTGTGAAGGCTAGCCTTATCTGTGGGTATAAGGACAAATGTTTATAGATTGTTAGGAATTATGCTGGCTTAGTAAATGAGTGGGTGTAGATTCTCCTCTAATAACCATGATTCCACCAGCACTAAGTAGTTAGCTAGGGTTCCGGTACCAGGCATGATTTCTCTCCTGTTGAATGGGTCTTAAGTACAATTAGAGACCTGTTGGTTACTGTCAAGGTACGCATGCCACTACTGCGCCCATTTTCTGGGCTAAGGTTTTTATAGCATACTCGGAGAAACTTACAACAGCAGCTCTTAGCCCTGGAAGGAACTCTTCTCCAGCTTCTCTAGTAACTCTGGCATGAGGAAGATGCTCTACTCTACCATAGGACCTAGCTTCCTGCTTTCCCTAACAGAGACCATTTTACTAGCATATAAAAGATGCTACCATGGACACAGGACCCAAAAATCTGTGTTTTGACTCAGGTGCTGGTGAAGAAATAGGCAAAGAAGCCAATACAGCAGATTAGAGAACCTAGAAACAGATCTGTGTATATGAGCCTGTGTGTATAAAATACCTACATGAACAATGCAAAAGAGTTTATACTTGCTCGCTGTTTGAGTAGGTTCAGTCCAAGGTCTACTACTTTTTTGTTGTTGTTGTTTAGCACTGAAGTAAGGTAGGAGGGTATGGAAGAGGACACTCTTCATGTCATGGTATCTGGAAAAAGGTGAGAGGATGAGAAAGGGGAAAGGAGAAAATATAACTCCGAAGGCAAGCTCCCAGCGAGCTGATTCCGCCAACCAGTTTCCACCTCCTCATAGACCCACACTGAGCTACAGTCCTTCACGATCCAATCATTTCCAAAGAGCCAGGCCCATGAGAACAAAGCCTATAGCACATTGCTTTGGGGGCGACCATTTAGATCCAAACGCAATTAATGCCATGTTTACTTTTCCTACCTCATAGTATTCAGTTATAGTTTGTAAATTGCACCTGTCCTAGATGTAATCATATAATATTTAAGATATAGAAAATATATAAGTACTCTATGTCCCCACAGAAGACAAACAGTACTTTATCATCCATATACTAAAAGAAGGAGGCATCAATAAAATTGAAGTCCTCCCTTTACCTTCTCAGTATCTAACCAAGAGGCAGGATGCAACCATATAAGGTGGAGGATTATGAATATAAACACAGTGCATACAGGCTAAAAGCAAATTAAAAGCATGTCTGCACAATCACTTAGAGTAAATGAGGTAAACAAGCCAAAGAGCAATTCATGTAATTTATTTGGTTTTTAAAAGAACTCCTGACAATACACAAAAGCAAATAAGTAAAATGAGAAAACCTCCTCAGAGTCATTACCGGCAGCAATCTTACCAAACGTTTTGGTAATTGATTGTATGCATTCACGAGGCATCCAGTTCTGTAAGCATTGAGTTACCCAAAGAAGACTGGTGAGATGAGATAGGATATAAACAAGACCAGGTAAAGTATGTGGGGAAAAGTATATGGTGGAAATAAGCTCTAACTATCAGGAAAGAGAGGGGTACTCAGAAGGGTACTGAAGAGTGCTCTCAAAGATACTGAAATAAAAAACAAAAACAAAAACAAGACAATGTCCTTGATGTTACAAGAGAACATACTGAAAACAGAAAACATTATTTATTCATAACTTATTTCTTCAAAGATCATGTTCAAAAGGTATAATGGAACTAAAGGATTGTCCCAAGATGGATCATTAAAATTATCAATGAAATGAACTACTAAGAAGAAACAGTCAGCTGATTAGAGGCTAAAAGTAGATATGGTGTGAGACTATCCCCTAGACTAAGAAATCAAGATAAATTGTACGACAAACAAATAGTAGCCCCATCAAAATTAGGTGGTAATGTGAAAAAGGTAAGCAAGTGAAGTCGGTATTTAGAAGAATTAACAAAATCATCCATATTAATTTTTTTTTTTTTTTAGAAAACACACATTTAGTGTTTTTGTCACAAACCTTATAAAGAAGGTCCATATTCACCCGTAGTAATCCTGTCAACAGTTAAACTCATGTAGATACATTTTCACATAAAGGATCACTATTGAAAAGAAAATTCTTATTGTAAATTATACTTTTCTCTTTTTGGGGTGTGTGTGTGTGTGTGTGTGTGTGTGTGTGTGTGTGTGTGTGTGTGTGTGTGTGTGTGT